TGCTGAATGAAAACTTGAGGGTTTAGGAACAGGAGCGTGTAGATTATTTCACTCATGGTCCCACTGCTACAAGTACAGTCTTCCCTTCTGGCAGATGTTCCAGTTAACCAGGGCAAGTGTGAGGTTTGGCGGGGTTTTTTTATGTATTATCTTAGAGTGCTGAAGAGATGTGCTTCCTCCCAGCTTATTTGGCATGGGAACCAACCATTGGTATTTGATAATTGGGCTTCCCAGCCATCTGTTAGGACTTTGGTTTGTTTATGGCAGCAAACACACCCCGTAGCAGAATCTCCCATCCTGAGTCTTAAAAAACTTCCCCTCACAACTGCGGTGTAATGTCACAGGGTAATGACACCAGGCAAGGGACATGGGCCAGGGGTTGCTGGAGGTAAGGGCTGCAGAGTTTGAGCCTTGTGAAGGATGGGATGTTGCAGACCTAGGCAGGGATAGTTCAGTTCCTAGGGAGGGGGCGGTACTGAAGAGTAGAGCTTGCTCTGCAGTTGTTGTAAGAATTTATTACAGAAAATCACCTTTAGCGAGCTACATGGAATGTGCTCCATGGCACGAGATCATCCTTACAGTTTTATCTTTGGTGTTTCATTAAGAGTTCTCAGTTTTGTAGCCAAAGCTTTTTTGGTCAATGAAAGCAGTGCTTTATGCCCCAGAGAAGACCAATATCATACCTCCACCTTTTCGTCTTCAGTCTCATTCTCCATTTTCCAGTGGAGCTTTCTGCCTGAGCTTTGCTCTGTAGCCGAAGAACCATTCTAGTCTCATGGATGTGTACATTTACACAAGGGTCTTTTCATGCCTGCCAGAATGTTGGCTCAACATTTGGTGCTGGCTTCACAGTGCAATGTCCGTGGAAAAAGCAGGTATACCAGTATGGAAAAGCAAGACTGGTTTTCCACTGTTGCTCTGTGGCTTTATTTTGCCCTTTGACCATCTGTCTGCACAGGCAGCTGTTACTAGGGGAGGAATACCAGTGTCTTTCCTTTTCGAAAGCAAGAAATACAAAATTTTCTTTTATTGAGCTAATACTTTGTTAAGCAGAGTAGCAGTTAAAGCTGAGTTCTGCAATAATAAAATCACATTTTTCTTATTGTAGATAACATCGCCTCAGAACTGGAGAATTTTATGGGTCTGATTGAGACAGTGACAGGGTATGTGAAGATTCGTCATTCCCATGCCTTAGTCTCCCTGTCTTTCTTGAAGAACCTGCGGTATATTCTGGGAGAGGAACAGGTGGATGGGTAAGTGTTCAGATATTTGTAGATGCAATTTCACTTTAATAGAAAGCCACAGAGAATAAGTCTCCTACTAAACATTCACATACCATTTATAGAATCCTCTCTTCCACAAATACGCAGCATTTTTCTCCTGATGAGCACCATTGCACGGTCATCGCTCATTTGGATTACTATCCAGATCAGCGTATTAAATTGGGTATATTAGAAGTATTTTTGTGGTAACTTTGTTGTTTTTCACTTTAGATTTTTCTAGGGAGATTCTTTACATTGATGAAGTGTCTTTCTGTGTTCTTTTTTGCTCTGTTTGAGAAAAGAGCGTATTCAGAAGCAATTTGATTTCCTTGCAGTTCTTTGCTATTGGATTTTAGCAAAGCTTTATGGAGAATATCAGCTGAAAGGAAACTTGAACTTTACTAACCAGGGAGTACAACTGAAAGTGACCTAAGTAGTATGAAATAGATTGCAAGTTGCAATTGTTTGCAGCTCTTTGAAATGCTAACGTTAAATGAGTTGCGTATCAAGCAGCAAAAAGACTGGTCAGGAAAAGTAAATTTGATGCCTTGAAATGTTTGCTGTGGGTTATCTTGCTTCTGCAGTTGCTCAGCGTGTGATAATTTTTGCTGTATATAACTCCTGATTTCCTATGATGGTAAGAGACAGTCAAGACAAAAGTTTTTTTCTCGGCAGAACTTGCAGCGCTAAGGTGTGGGGATGATCCCTCAGCATACTGCCTTGCACTTTCTCCTCCTGAATCAAGTAGCCCCATCCCAGGTTTAAACCAGTGTTCTCTGGGAGAAATAAGTCTCCTTCAGTAATGACAGCTGTTAAATTAAGAATTTTGGGAAATCATATAAGAAAAGGTGGTGGGAGGGTCATGGGAAAGGTTGCTTGTGTCTGGTTTATCTGCCCTGACAGGATAAAGTTACAGCATGAGGGATTCTTCACAACCTCCCTCTTTCTCTCAGGCTAGGCTTTGGTCACCCTTAAATTCTTAAAATTCCACCATCTGACAGAGCGAGTTAAAGAACAGCTCTTCATCCTGCGCTTGAAAAATGCGCTGTCTTTTTCAGTAAGAACGTTGGGGCTACGGAAAAGCTTGTTTCTAATTGCAAATCCTAGAGGCTTGTCGCTTTGCCGAGCACAAGGCTCACTCAGCCCACTTACGATGTGGCGTGCTCTCGCAGATACTCCAATTATCGATTTGTCTTTTCTTCTTTCTGCTCCCCCTCTCTCACTTGCTCACTTTTAAATTTGAGTTTAGCTTTCTGTTTCGAGTAGTAGTTATGTTTATGGTACTTTGTATGTCAGCAAGCAGAGCTGATACAAAGGGAAGTGGCAAGTTTTTAAATCGAATTCCCAAATAGAAAAGTAAATAGGTGCAGCTTTGAAGAGGAAAAGGGGGATGGTAAAGTGGGGGAGCTAAAGTAGATCTGTAGTGAAGAGCTACTTATCCTAAAATTCACCCATGCTAGGAAATTACTGCAGTTACATATTTTGGGTCAGGGGCAGTCTCTTCTCTTGGAAAACGCCTATCATAATTGAGGCGTTACCGCAGTCTAAATAACATTTCCGAAAATACTTAGATGGCACCTGGCAAGGAAGGACTGAGCTTGAACAATTACTTTGGCAGAGCTATGAACAACAGGGAGTGGGGTCTTAACCTGGGAAGTACTGGGCTGCTGGAACAATAGCTGTTCAAGCCAACATTGTCTTGTGGGTGAGATTAATTTAGGATCCATTATGATAGTTGTTCATGACATGACTGACCCCACCACCACCGTCCCTTTTTTTTGTTGGACTAACAAAACAGTACTTCAGTAGTTCTTTCTTCCTTATTCAGTTGCTGGTGCCTGCCTTGGTTATCACAGAAAATGGAAAGTTTAGACGGGATTTACTTTGTTTTCAAAGTATTCGTTCCCTCTTTTGAACACTATGTTTGTAGTGAACAAGCCCCCACAGCAAGAAAAAAAAAATTCTTTTTGCAAATAGGGAAGGTGAAATGGAGATGTGCTGGAGGGGTCTCAGTGTCTGTTTGCAGGGTATTGAGATTCCTAGTCTGGTGTTCACTGTGCCGGGCCCCTCGGCCCTCTGCTGGGGTGCTGTGTGTTTGTTGCTGTCATTGACCGCAGCTACCATGTTGGTGGATGGCACGTGGGTGACACTTCTCAAAGCATCTCCGGGTTGGGTACGTGGAAAATGAGCAATTTGTGGCCTTCAGGAGTAAGCGAGGAGATAGTGACTGAGGAAGAGTTCTGTTGTGGCACCGACTGGCTGCTGACGTTGTGTTTCAACTTGTGCAGCAAGCTGGGGACAGTCTCTATAAAAGCAAAACAGCCCTTCCCACCCCCCACCCCCCCCTTCCTACATCTTTTTGAAGCAGAGACATCAGTAACTGTCAGGCTTGTTGGAAGGTGTGAACAGGATCTCTAGCTGTTGTATGGCTCCTTGCTGAAGACTTTACGGTTTGTTTTCCTGGGATGATTATTGTCAAATTATGGTAAACTCAGGCAGTCATCACGCTAGCAGCCAGGCTTGTTCTAGCCACAGCATTTCAACAAAGCAGTCACCCTGTGTGTGAGAGTTTTAGGAACAAGTAATGCTCTCCAAGCTGGTAGTAAACACGGGTGGTGAGCATGTCTGCAGTGGCAGGCTCCCATGCGGCAATGCTCCTTGGCTTTGTTTTAGTTTGAGGGGAGTCTGTAAAGACACTGTTCCTCAGCTGTCCATGTGTAAGTGAAGTTTCAAAGAGTGAGTTAGGGAGTGTGTACACTGAGGTGTGAGGCTGGGTTTGTGTGGGGGTTTAAGAAGCTCATCAGTTTACCTTTTAAAACTGTACAAGAAAACACTGAACTTCAGCATTAGTAAGGTGCGTTACTTCCAAATCCATGGGTTAGTGCAAAAGCCCCTAGTTTCCCACCCATGGATATGCCTGTGGAGATGCAATTCTTGGCCAAAATCAGCTGCTTCTAAGTTGCTTACAATTTACATTAGCAAGGTGTATGTGAGTATCTATTAGAGATAGGTATTCTGTTAGTAACCTCTGTGGTTCTGTTTGAAGTGCTGGTGGGAAAACACAAACAAAAGAATGTATCGGCATTATTAAAACAGTAGCAATGTTTTGGAAATTTGATAAAGTTTGGGCTTGTAGAGAGATGTTGAAGAACAAACCTATTTAAAAAGCAACCATCAAATGGAGCATTTTGTTCAAATATTGTCCTCCATATTGTTCTCTGTGGTGGTGGTGTGCTGTATATGTTTGACACTGTTGTCAGGTCCTCGTCAGGGATCAGGGCCACACTGTGATACAGGTTTAGAACATACACCATGTTAATAGATAGTTTCTAGCCAACACATGGCATGTTTTGTGTATGTAAAGCAATAAGGGTTTTGCTTTTCTCCTGTCTCTTACTGATTGATGTCCCAGCTCTCTGTCTAATGGGATTTTCTGTCTTTCTCAGCATTCAAGCAGTAGATCTAGAGATGAATGTCTTCTATTCTGTATGTCCCACAGGGTGGTTTGTCTTGTCCCAGCGTAGTCAGTCTGTCAGAAACCTCTGCTGCCTGGTCATCTTCTGTAGCCAGCTCATCCACCGCTCTCATTCACAGTCCGCCAGTTCTCGTTCCCTTTTTGGTGCAAGTCACTTGGCTTTATGCATCATGCATTGCTGTCTTATTAGCAGTGTACTTATCTGGTCATTACCCCTTTCAGGAGCTTTTTGTGTCCTGTACCCTATGGAGGGGGATAAAGGATGATTGAAACCTTGTTCACACACTTTGATCACACGCTGTCTCCTTTTGGTTTGGATCTCGTGTTCTGCCTCGTAGCTTTACGATGGGTGGATGTGCACAGATGTAGCATTGCATGCAGATGTGGTGTGAAGCAGGTTTTTAATGTATGCAGTCAATAATTTAAGTAGCTGTGGGTGCTCTGCAGTTGGAGATACACATCATGTTGTGAGAATTCTCTTGTGGGTGTGCATGGGTTATGCAGGTCGCCTTGGGGCTTTTTATGGCAAGTCTGGGACCAGATGTGCCTCCTACTCCTGTTCAGAGGTTTAGTCTGTCCTTCAGGCCATAATCTCCAGTCATTCCCTTGGTTACTGTCTCCAGGGTTTGATTGGCAGTGCTTTGTTTTCCTACAGTGAATCTTTTATTCTTTCCATGCTACCTTCCTTGACATCCTGATTTTTTCCAGAGCTGTTAAAGCCGAAGTCTGATATAATCTTTATTTATAACCTCAGCCCTAAGTGCACTCTAGTTGCCCTCTGCTCCCCCTTTCAAGCCACGCAGTGCAGCACTTCTCCTGTGACTGACACTGTATATAGTCCTACAAATGTGGTTTCCCTGGTGCTTTGAATGGAGCTAGAATAACTTCCACTAATTTATACTTTTAGTGTATATATATATATACACACACACACACATATATATGAACACTTAGAACCTGTTTGCCTTGCCTCAGATGGCTGCTCAAACTTGTGCAGTTGGCTTTAACGCTGAGCCACGGTAACTCCCAGCTCTGGCCCAGTCGCTGTGCAGTCGTGTAAAAGCACCAGTGTGTGCTTGGTTTGCCTCATTTATTCACACTCTTGAAAGCTTAGCCACATTACTTTAATCCAAGAATTGTCTCTAGTGTCTAAAGCACAATTGCCGCAGTTGCGAGCAGGAGGCGGGCTAGGCTGTTATTAAATATTTAAGATGGTTTCTATAGTCGTGGAGCCACACCTGTTTGTGTTCAATTTGAGTCCAGCTTTTTGGGTCTTTCCTGAAAAGCTTAGTTGCCATCACTTAATCACATGGCTAATTATGGTGAAGTGTCATCTTTTCAGCAGTGCACAGGGAGCTGCAGGCATTTTAGTCATCTGTAACAGAGTAATAGGTGTCTCGAACACAGTTTTTTGGTAATGCCTGTCAAATCCCACATGCAGTTTAGCTTCCTTGTTCTATCCTGGCAAGATGCATTTGAAGCACAAATGTGTATGTGCTCCCTTGTCAGCTGAGCACGTTCTTCTCGACATCTGTCTGAAGCGGCACCAGGTATATCAACTTCATTAGCAATCAAGTCCTGGATAATTAGGGGACAGTTGGAAATAGGAGAAACCACTTCTCTTCCACATTGTTCTGAAAATACACTCAGCATTTTGGTGCATTACAACAAACTGCAACTGTGGTCTGCGCAGATGGCAGCAAAATGCGGAGTTTTCACTGCGGGTTGGGTGAGGGGGGATTTAATACTGAATTTTAAATTGAGTAGTTGAATGAAAACCAGAAATGAGTAGTATGTCAACTTATGAGCCCCCCATGGTTTGTCTGCCATGTTACCCTGCAGAAACTCTTAATTGTAGTTAAAAGTGTTTGTAGAAAGCCTAGTTTAACTAGGGCTTACCGATGCAAAGTGGCTTGCAGAGGTCGCAAGGCTTTATTCTGTCAATAATGGATTTTATGTTGATGCAGTTTAATGTTGGTGGGACTTTCCGCAGACGTATAATAAATGCTGCCATGATGGGTTGGTTTGATTTAGGTTCATCACGCATATAGCACGGGGAATAAACAACAGGCGTTAGACACATGTGCATGCCTGCAGGGCTGTGATCTTACTGGCATCCCACTGTAGGAAAAGATCAGGTTTAAGGCCATCTAAGGAACCTGAAGGTGCACAAGTCCATGGGACCTGATCAGGTGCATCCGTGGGTCCTGAGGATGAAGTTGCGAAGGCACTCTCCATCATATTTGAGAAGTCGTGGCAGTCTGGTGAAGTTCCTACTGGCTGGAAGAGGGGAAACATAACTATGGAAACTATGCTAAGGCGCATGGAGAATAAGGAGGTGATTGATGACAACCAACATGGCTTTACTGAGGGCAAATCATAGAATCATAGAATGGTTTGGGTGGGAAGGGGCCTTAAAGATCATCTAGTTCCAACCTCCCTGCTATGTGCAGGGACACCTTCAGCTAGATCAGGTTGCTCAAAGCCTCATCCAACTTGGCTGTGACAGGTTCCAAATTTGGTGGCCTGTGATGGGGTTACAGCATTGGTGGGTAAGGGAAGAGCAACTGATGTCATCTACTTAGGTTTGTGCAAAGCATTTGACACTGTCCCGCATGACATCCTTGTTTCTAAACTGGACAGACGTGGATTTGATGGGTGGACCACTCCGTGGGTAAGGAATTGGCTGATTGGTCGCGCTCAGAGTAGCGGTTGATGGCCATGTGGAGACCAGTGACGAGTGGTGTTCCTCAGGGGTCGATATCAGGACCGGTACTGTTTAAAATCTTTGTTGATGATATGGACAATGGGATTGAGTGCACCCTCATGAGGTCTGCCAAAAAGACCAAGCTGTGTGCTGTGGTCAACAAGCTGGAGGGAAGGGAGGCCATCCAAGAGGGACCCTGACAGGCTGGAGAGGTGGGCCCGTGCGAACCTCGTGAAGTTCAACAAGGCCAAATGCAAGGTCCTTCACGTGGGTCAGGGCAACGCCAAGCACAAATATAGACTGGGTGGAGAATGGATTGAGAGCAGCCCTGAGGAGAAGGACTTGGGGGTGTGGTTGACAAGCTCAACATGACCCGGCAGTGTGCATTTGCAGCCCAGAAAGCCAGCTGTATTCAGGGCTGCATCAGAAGTGTGGCCAGCAGGTCGAGGAAGGTGATTCTCCCCCTCTACTCTACTCCACTCTTGTGAGACCCGACCTGGAGTACTGTGTTCAGCTCTGAGGCCCCCAGCATAAGAAGAAGATGGACCTGTTGGAGTCCAGAGGAGGGCCACAAAGATGATCAGACAGGTGGAACATCTCTCCTGTGAGGACAGGCTGAGAGAGTTGGACTTGTTCAGCCTGGAGAAGGCTCCAGGGAGACCTTAGAGCGGCTTTCCAGTGCCTGAAGGGGCCTACAGGAAAGCTGGAAAGGGACTTTTTACAAGGATGTGTAGTGATAGGACAAGGGGTAATGCCTTTAAACCGAAAGAGAGGAAATTTAGATTAGATGTAAGGAAGAAATATTTTACTGTGAAGGTGGTGAGACACTGGCATAGGTTGCCCAGAAAAGCTGTGGCTGCCCCATCCCTGGAAGTGTTCATGGGCAGGTTGGATGGTGCTTGGAGCAACCTGGTCTGGTGGAAGGTGTCCCTGCCCATGGGTTAGAACTAGATGGTCTTTAATGTCCCTTCCAACCCAAAGCACTCTGTGATTCTGTGGTCAGCTATGCAGACATTTAACTCATTTCCCAATTGTGCATTCCTGTCCCTGCTATCGCAAAATGTAAGTGTCTTTCTAGGTGTTGTCTTGCTGCTGATGTAGAGCCTGTAATTTTGCTTCTGCTGCATCTGTTTGTTTGATTTTTACCAATTCAGCACAATCGAGGGGTACTGGGAATTTCTTCTTAATGTGTAATAGGATGTACACACAAAACTTTGCATTTAGTATCTGTGGAAATAAAGGATGTTCATGTTATTCCACTGCTGTGTTTAGGGAATGGGCTCAGCACATGCTGCTGCCTTTGTTGTCTGTATTGCCCTGCCCGTTTGCACTGCTGCCTGTACTTTGAAGTATGGATCCTGTGCTGTGCGGTCAGTGCAACTCTTTGTCAGGTTCTGATGTACAGGCGCGACTGTACTTGGCACAGTGTAGGAAATAGTTCTTGGGCCAAGAGGTGAACTAAGACGGAGAGGCATAGAAACCTTGCTATGCAAACTCCTGCAGTTGCTTTTGTAAACTGAAGACAGCTGTGTTCACAGTTGTATGTTAGTGTCGGAACTGCACCGTGCTTTTTCTCCCGTAAGGTATGTAAGGTTATTACTTCCCATTTGCAACAAAACGGAAAATCCATTGTAGAGACCTGCTGTTCAGAGGACATGAATTTATATTGCTTATAGCAGCTTCTCTACAATTATTAAAACACATGTTGGAGGGGGCTTTACATGGTGTGGTGTCAGCCTTGAAGTCCTGTGTTAGTCATTTTCCTGCCCTCTGACCAAAGTGAGCGTTCAGGGAAATCTTGGTCATTGGGAGAAAAGAAAATATTTTACTGTAAACAGCAATTTAAAGTAGTAAGAGGAAACATAGTGTTTTAAAATTTTCTTTTATTAAGGTATTCTTGGTTGGAATTTGCTACAGATTAAAAGTAAGGTTTTTCCTTCTAGGAATTACTCCTTCTACGTGCTTGACAACCACAATCTTCAGCAGCTGTGGGACTGGAACCATCATAACTTGACGATCAAGGAGGGGAAAATGTACTTTGCATTTAATCCTAAACTGTGTGTTTCTGAGATTTACCGTATGGAGGAAGTTTCAGGAACCAAGGGACGACAGAGCAAAGGAGATATAAATCCAAGGAACAATGGGGAGCGAGCCTCTTGTAAGTAAACAAACAAACAAAATCTGAAGGCAAACTGCATAAGAGGGTGGCACAAAAAAACCCAAACCCAACACACTGCCGCACTGCTGTCCACTACAATATTGAGAGTTTAGAAATTACAGTAGGCTTTCAGTCGTTCTACTTGTTCAGGTTTTAAAGTGTAGCTGTGAAAGTGTGTTCACATGCATGGAAAATTACGTGGTTACATAGTCACTATCTCATCTGTAAAAACCATTTGATGAAGACAACTGCTTTCCAAATACCGTTGTTTTTTTGTGTGTGTGACAGCAGCATCATATAACAGTAGGAACATACCTGGGAAATGAGAAATAAAATCTGGTGTTTTGGTATATCCAATGAGGAGCAGTTTCTCTGTTTCCTTTGCAAATGTCCGTCATTATAGGTATTTCACTCTCTTGGGTATCTACTCTTTCTTGATACTAAGGAGGCTGCTGAATAACAATTCCATAGACACCAAAACAAGCTTGTTTCTGTTATGTTGAAGCTTCTTTTCAGCTCCTGATGAATATTATCCCTTGTTGCTAGAAATGCTTGTTGTAAACTCAATTTTCTGGGCTTTGTTTTCAATTCATTTGTTTTTGAATTGAGAACACTTTTTAGTGTTCTACAGTATTCCTAAGCTTCAGTGTCTCTGCATTTCATTTTGAATTCTGTAATGGTCAAAGTTGCTGGAAAGTCCTCTTGGCTTCAGTGGTCTGCACGTCAGGCCTCCCGGTGTAAGCAACGCATTTAAAGACAATCTCTCGTCTAGGAATTAAGACGACAGAGTTCTTAGAAATTTGGCCTCGTACTCAGACTCCTAGAACGGACAGCGCGTTTTTCTGTGGTCTATTTGTTGTGTTCTTGGAGCTGAGTAAATTAAAATGGATGTTGTGTATAAGTCAAGTCCCCTTGTTCTGGATGGTGTTTACAAAACAAGGACACGTACTCTGCTGAATATCTCTTCAGGCATGATGCATAAATGCAGATGGCATAGATCCTTGTTGTAAGCACACTCCATTCTTTGCACATTCAATAGAGCGAAGGCTTGCAGTCCTGGAGGAGTTACAGACACACAGCCAGTCCTTACTACCACTGAGGCTAGTGCCAGCCGCTGCCTGTTTTTTTAAAAAACCATTACAGAAAGCTTTCTGACTCCGAGAAGGGGAAAAGAATCAACAAAAGCTAAACTGCCTTTGAAAAGATAACACCAATAGTGCCAGTGTACATGAGGGTGAAAACCCCTTTATTTTCACAGATTTCTGAGGAACATTAGAAGCTAACTCACAGTTGACACTTAGAACAGAATGCCTTCATCCAAGAATTAAGTTTTTAAAATACTATTTTGTTTTGGATTGGAAAGCTCAGTGAGGTGGTAGTGGGAAGCCATTAATTTCAAAGCTGTCGGCTTCCATCCAGCTCTGTTCAGAAGAGTAGCTGGAAGCTGCTGCCATCAAATGGTTGTGCCGTATATGAACTGAGTTTTGGAGTTCTTGGTCCAGCCTCTCATGAATAGGAATGTAAACTTCTTTGTCCTTTTCATGTTGTCCAGTCCCCAGAAAAGCAAATTGTACCTGTCAAAAGTAGCCCTGGAAAGTGAGAACACAGAGGCCAGTTACTGCTCTGCACGTGCATTGGAGTTGCTTGATGAATTCAGTCCTCCTAAACCAGTCCTGTGAATAAACAAGACTTCCATTCCTTGCTCGGGGAGAGTCTGAAGTAGTTTTCAAGAACTTTTCTGATGATGCACTGAAAGAAAATCTGCTTCAGAAAAAATAATAACAAGTAGCTCCAGCATGTTCTAAAATGATTGCCGAGTTCACTGCTTACCCTTAAGCACTCAAATGTAGTAGGATGAAATCAAAGCCCTACAGAGACAAAGGCTGTTGGTGTACTGTGGTATCACAGGCACTACTGGAAAGGCTAATTAGCTAAAACTGATACCTACGAAACAGCAAAAACTAAGGGGTGTTGTGATGCTAACTCTGTCATGTCCTGTCCTTTTGTGTTGCAGGTGAAAGCCACATTCTGCGTTTTGTTTCCAACACTACGCTCAAGAATCGGATTAAACTAACATGGGAACGGTATCGCCCTCCAGATTATAGAGATCTCATTAGCTTCACTGTTTACTACAAAGAAGCGTAAGTAGATGTCGTCAGAGACTAATCAGGGCAGTCCGAGACATAGTAGACAATTCTATTGACTGTTTGTTCAAATTCTTTCCTTGGTGGAGCACAAGCCCACTTTAAAAAGAGCATTGTTTTGATTGAAGCCTACAGATGGATTCCAAATCCATCAGGATGTTTCAAGTTTGAAGAAAAAAATGAGATGGATGGCTTGGCTGTTCTCAAGGGTCTAATTTGTAGCTCTTCGTAAGACATGTCATGTTTGCTAAGATCTTCTCCTCCTCTGGTCATAGTACTGACTAGAGAGCATCACAGATCAGAAGTTTGCCTTATCACCTTGATGATTTGTTTACTCAGGGTTTGGGGTTATTTAGATTATATAGCTTTGGTTGTTTTCTGCATTAGTATCTCTTGATACTGAAGGAGTGGGACAATTACTGGAGAGATCTAATTTCTTAGGAGGTGTCTCTGCCTTTGCACATCCTTGTAGTGTCTCAAATTTAAAATAGTAAAAAAACACAAGTGAGCATACTAGTAATTCTCCAAGCAGTTTGGAAGTGTGGAAGGGGAGGTTCAGGATGCTGGTGATGACATACAGAGTAAGGCTGTGAGACACAGAAGCACAAATTGTTCGTGTCCAGTAACACTTAAGAATATCATTGTGGCCGTGTACTATGATGCAATAAACTTGGTGCTAATGAGTCTATAGTAGTAATTAATAACAAGAGTAGCACTTTATATGCTCTTTGCCAGTGTTGCAACTTACGAAAAGTAGAACTATGTGACTATATAAGTGTGTTGTATTGTATAGAAATAAAATAGGAAATAAAGCCTGTTGGAATGGTCAAGGCCAGCCATGGAAGTTTTGGGGTCTTTATGGTAAAAAAGCTCAGCTACGATCAATATCTGTTTTGAGTTGCTTCTGTTTCATATATGCTTAGCTAAAGTCTAAATGTGTCTGAAACATTTTGCTGTTTTGGATTTAAAAAAATAAATTCAGTGTTTTCTTGGAGAATTTTGCCTTATTGCTGGTGACTGAAGGTAAGACCTGCAGCTAAAGCTGAACTCTGAATTTTGTAGTGCTTGGAAATAAATACGAATTTTATTCTGCTATGGAAAACAAGTAAGCTTTATTTGTTTCATTGAGCAACATGGAAGTGAGGCACTCTCATACATACATGACAATGCCTAGGAAAGAATAAATATTTTTTACTGTTTTTTTTTCTTTTAATGTTTCAGACCTTTCAAAAACGTGACAGAGTATGATGGGCAAGATGCGTGTGGCTCCAATAGCTGGAACATGGTTGACGTTGACCTGCCACCGAACAAAGAGAACAATCCTGGAATCCTACTGCAGGGATTGAAACCTTGGACTCAATATGCCATTTATGTCAAGGCTGTTACCCTCACAATGATGGAAAACCATCATATTCATGGAGCAAAAAGTGAAATTGTGTATATACGAACCAATGCTGCAGGTGAGATCCTGGGCTCTTGGGTAAGAGGTTGCTCACGCTGCAGGTATGCTTGTTGTGTTATTGTGCAAGTTCTCTTGTGGCGCGGGTTGCTATTTCAGACTGTACTCCACTGGTGAAGGTAAATAAGTACAGCCTTGGATTGGGACTGTACGTGGTTGCAGGTGAATCCTTAATAACTGTTGTTAGTGGGACATAAGTAGGAAACCTTTTCTTTGAAATAGGATGGTGTCGCTTCCTGCAGTATAGAAGTGGATTGGGATTTACTTTGGAAGCTTGCATCAAAATACATTGTAGAGTGCTCTGGATTTATATAACCTCCTTTTATTTTTTCTTTTTTTTCCCCTCCAGTGCCATCCATTCCCTTAGATGTTATTTCAGCATCCAACTCCTCATCCCAGCTGATAGTGAAATGGAATCCTCCCTCTCTTCCCAACGGCAACCTCTCATACTACATCGTACGATGGCAGCAGCAACCTCAGGACAGTTACCTTTACAGACACAATTACTGCTCCAAAGGTAGGAAAACAAAACACTGCTAAGGTGAAATGCCTGTGACTCTTCCCTGCCAGTGCACTTCATTGACAAGAGCCACAGCCTGTGCCCCGCTTCACAGCTCTTTTGTGAATAACAGCAAGTAGAAGGGAGTGGGTAAACACAGATTGTCGCTGTATTCATAATAATATGGAGAGAAAGGAAACAAGCTATCTCTGCTCTTTTCTTTTAAGATAAAGTCCCAATTCGAAGATATGCTGATGGGACCATTGATACAGAAGAAGCTACTGAACCCACCAAGCCAGAGGGCTGCGGGGGAGAAAAAGGACCTTGTTGTGCTTGTCCCAAGACGGAGGCAGAAAAGCAAGCTGAGAAGGAGGAAGCAGAGTACCGGAAAGTCTTTGAGAACTTCCTTCACAACTCCATCTTTGTCCCCAGGTAATGGATTTTGGACACTTTCTCTTTGCAAGTGGGGCTAATAATTTTGGTTTTTAACATTTCCTAGAGCTGAGGCTTCCTGGACATGAAAGCGTATGTCGGTAACACCCAAAGTGCATAAACATTGCCTCTGTTTTTATGTGAGACAGTCTGCAGCCTTTCTTTGCAGTTTCTCTTACTAATTTTCATCTCTTTCCATTTTAGCTAATAGTGAGGGTTCTTACCTATTTTGTTCAAGGACTTCAGTGATGGTTTCTTTTCAGAGTCGAGAGTCACTTGAGGAGCTCTTTGTCTGTAAGGGTTTCAGAGATGAGCAACATGTGGCAGACAAAGGGTTTCAGATGTGATCTTTCTCTAAATAGCCATTTAAGTGCTTGTGTTCCTAATCTGAAGATTTATTTGCCTTTGAAATTGAGGGCATAGTCACCTCGCAGGATTGAAACTGGTCTTCCTTTCTCACTGCACTAATTGCGAAGGCATATTGGTTTCCTGGGTCTGTGCTGCAGAGAAGTATTAAATATGCCCACTCTTCCATGATAAACGCTACCGCTTACACATTAAGTGGAATAGTAACGATTTTATGCTGCAACATAGAGTAGATACTACTGAATTAATTGGCGATTTTGATCCTTGAGTTTCCAATTTATCCTTCATGTAAGCTGTTCTTACTTTAGATAATTGGATCCTGGGGCCTAGCAGACAGTGTGTAGCTGTTGCGTTACAATCTATAAGCAATCAGATTTGAATCATGGCTGTTATCTCATTGTCTCTGTTGGTGAAGTCCTGTGTTTGAGAACTCTAAAGTGTGGTACTGCTGCTTAGGAAAACTGGTTTGTATCACTCTCCGTTGTGATTTTTTGGACCGTTATTCAAGGACATATTGGATAGACTTGTTTGGGGTTGGGAGTGTGATATGTGCAGATCTTCTTCGCTTTATCCAGAAAATGAAGAACTAAATACTGCCTCTCTTTGGAAGTGCTGAGTATTGTATCTGGGCTGCGTTTGAGTAACATCTAGCATTTGTGGTTGAACTTGTGCAGTGTTTCCCTACTGATGATGGGAACCAGCAGCACAGATGAGCTACAGAGAAGTAACAGCCACCACTGCTGGCCAGGATGTAGTTCCTGAGCAATGTGAGATCTTGTAAATGTGATCTGATTTTGGACTTTATGAAATAGCACAGCAAGGAGTTTTGACGGGCATATGTCAGGTCTAAACTACTTGAAATTCTACTGCAAGGAATTTTTCTGTTTCACCAGAACTTTGTCATTTAAAATGCATTATCTGCTCCCAAATTTTCATGCATTCCCCCTGTCCCCCAAAGGAAACTCCCAGAACCTTGAACTCGGACAGTAACAAATAAACTGACCAGTTCACAAAGAATTTCCTGAAAGTTTGTCCATTTCCCTTTTTCCTTAACTTGCTGTCATAAGGGTGTGTTTCGTAACAGCAAGGGCAGATAAGGTACAACACTCAGAAATAGCTGCATAGCTAAGCAACTTTAAAGAGACTGCATGTCAGGGAAATTAAAGATTATGAGCTAGTGAGACATCTCTATGGGACAAAACTATGCAGCTCGTTACTTGCTGGTGTCTATTTTTTCTTTCCCTTCTTTCCCAAAGGAGAAGTTAATTAATGTGTTAATGGAAGCCTCAATAGTAGTATTTGTTTCCAGTGTTCTGCCTGTCTCCAGGATATTACGAAAGAGATGCAGCATGTAATACAGCGTGAAGATACTCGACTGCGTGGTTTTAAGGTTGTTGAAAAAGCCTGTTGATCTAATCATGTTCACAACTTCTGGATGACCCCGTGTGTATTACTGTAGTGTTGAGGTGGATTTCAAACATGAGGACTCTGGTTAGTCCTGAAGAGACACTCACAACCACAGGAGGATGAGTTATTCTTCAAGGTTTTTTTCTCTCTAATGAGCAGGATGAGATGGGCTCTGTGTGTAGTTAGAAGGTATCTGAGAAGTAGCATTAAAATTGTCATAAAGTATGAGAACAGTTAGCTTTTATGTTAAATGACTCGCTTTTTTCCCCTCCTTTTTAATTGCAATTCGATTTAATTTTTTATAGTGTTATTTTTAATTTTTCTCTTGCATTTCTTTTCCTTCCTCTCCTGTAACAGAATAGATACTTTTTCACGTGTGTTTCATGTCTTATTTCCTTGGATGGGTTTTTTTTGTTTTTTATCTGGACCTTTCACAAAAGCAGGAAGCTGCTTGACCAAAAAGCAGTGGTGTCAAATCTCTTGATGTTTTAATCATGTTTGTTCTGTGGTTATCCTGCAGGTCTTTTTCTCTTCCTGATATGACTGTAGTTTTCACCAACAAGTTTTGTGTTGCTTTCTCTTTATCTTTTTCCCCAAAGGCAAGGTAGGACTGTACTTCCCCCCCCCCTTCCAAGCATCACCAAAGAATTGAAATTTGATGCATCCTATATAAGCAGTGATGGATAAAGTCATGCCTTTTGGGTTCTTGCCTTGGCACGTGCTTTTGTGGCTGATTGAAAATGAACTTTTTTTCACTGCTTTTATCACAACATCTGTGCAAATGTTCGTCAGTTCAGTGCTATGCATCCCGTGTGCTTTTAGCAGTTCAAAAGTTTGTTCTTTCCACTCAGTTAAAGCGGTAAATGAGTACTTACCCTAAGCAAGGTGAATAGGTTTAGTAGCTTCCATAAATACCAGTGTAGAGGAGGCACAAGTGCTTACATCTCCAATGAAATTCCCCCACCAAGTGAAAACATTCGCTTTTATGTTGCTTAAAACAATTTCTTGGTAATGTAGGAAGTTTTTTTTTCTTGTCTTCATTTATTGCTATGCTGTGGTTTACATCTGAGAGTGTCAAAACAACGGCGTAAGACATAGTAAAAGGATTTTGGAAAATTTTTAGTGAACTCCAAAAGAAAAAAAAAAAAATTCATCCAACCTCTGCCAGAAGATTTCAAAACCAAGTCAGCCTGTGTTTGGCTGGCCCTGCGGCGTGCTGTTTTGTGGCTGAATGTACTAAGACGATATATTTGACAGTGAATTAACTTCTCCTGTTGAGTCATCTTTCTTCCTGGTGTCTGTCTGAGGGAGGCCTTATTTGCCTGGTTTGTAACTTGCTCTCTGATAGAACTGTGTTAGAATTCACCTTTGTCCTTGGTAGCCGCTGCACTGACGGGGTGCTAGATTGGCACTGGCTAAGTGATCGCAGGTGGGATAGGGTTCAAGCCAAAACTGCTCTGACAGTGTGACTTGTCTTACATTCTTCTTTTACTCCCCTGGTGCATTGCTTTCCAGGTGTGAGCAGTCCTACAAACTTCAGAGACTAGGAGGGCAGGAGCTGGAAAAGCCAGCTTGCCCGATGTGGTCAGTGCTCCTGTGCAAACAGTCTTGGGCCTGACACAAGACCCAGTGACAAGTCTAACGTGTGGCAGTCATGTGTTGGATAGCTAATACCATCCAAATGTTTATCAGAGTGTTTTCATATTGACTCTTGTACTGATACTCAGGCCTATCTACTAGGACAGTTTCTTAGACTTGGGAAGAAGTAGTCTTGCTGTAAATCCTCAAGTTTTTAACTCTGCATAAATTCCATACAGATGCCTGCAAGGTAAAGCAAAGTTGCTCGGTGAACTCATTGCTATACACAGTGTTAGTGCTGTGTTTTCTCGTATAGGAGGATTGTTCCTTTGCAGAGCTTTTGTTTGGGTGAGAGAAGTAGAGATATGTGAATTACCACACACCAGCGGTGGTTAATGGTCTTCAGCTGCCTTCCAAGGTTTCTTTTCTCAGTGCAGTTCATTGAAAGTTCTGTAAGTTCACTGCAACTGAAAAATAAGTTAAAGCTACTGAGAGTTAGCTTTGCTAATCCAGCAAACTTCGAAACAGTTTTTCCCCATACCTTTTCAGCCTTTAACATCTGATTTTTATTTTAAGTGGCAACATTCCTGTCATTAAATACAAAATCTATGATGCGTATTGAATAACAGTGAAGCCATTTTTGCTATTTGGTTTATTGTGTGAGGTCAGAAGTTTGCATGTTTGTCTTGGGACGCAGTGTGAGGTTCAGAGATTTGATTGGTTTCTTGACCAGAAAAGAAAGTAATAGGATGTGCTGACATGCTGCAGGTTCCTTTGTTTAGCCTTTTTAATAGCAGAGTTACCTATTTTCCTGGGGTTGTTTTCCTGGAGCTGGAGGAAAAAGTGGATTTTCTCTACAGATGCCTTTTCTATACCTGTCTGTTTGCTCCACAGACCGGATCGGAAGCGGAGGGACGTGTTCCGAATAGCAAATGCCACTTTGGCCACTCGAAACAGGAATGTGACTGGGACAGATCACTTCACCAATGTTTCTGACGCAGAGGAGAGTGAGGTGGAATACCCGTTCTTTGAGACCAAAGTGGATGGCAAGGAGAGAACTGTGATCTCCCATCTCCAGCCTTTTACTCTTTACCGCATTGATATTCACAGCTGCAACCATGAAGCTGACACACTTGGTTGTAGCGCTTCCAACTTTGTCTTTGCAAGAACCATGCCTTCAGGTATGCTCTCATGAGTGTAAAGCTTTGGTTTATTTTCTCCATCTCAGGGAAGACAGACTCTCCGAAACCAGTTTGAAAAACATTGGGGTATAATAACAAAAATTCTGCTCAGGAAAATAAATTGGAACTGTATAAAACTTTATTATAGTCGTTTAATGCCCTTGACTGGTCTGTTGTGTGTACTGAATATATGTGTTGAGTCTGTCCTGTGATCTGGAGAAAGGTAGAAGTGCGTGCATTGACTAGCGAGATCATTATGAGAGAATTAGTTTTGCAGCGATACAGGTGAGACCCACAGACACCACAGACGTGGTGGGTTGAAAGATTTTATTCTTCAGTTCCCTGTCTGCTGAATGGAGACAGGGGAACATTTCTCTACCAATGTTTAGTTTTGCTATGTTCACTCTGAACTGTTTGCAGATGTTGAGAGTTTTGCTGGTGGGAATGTTTGCCAAACGTTTCTTCTGTCACAGAATGACCATGCGTTTGTCCAGCCTGGGAACAGGAGGAGTACTGTGTTGCTTTGTGCCCAGTCGCTGGCATCCAGAGTAATTCAAATAGGAAGCATTGAATGCCGTGCTCGTGTTTGGGACTTTACAGATTGTACTTCTTCTGAGAAGAATAGAGATGATTTTAGTGTAAGCTCATATGCATCCAGCAAAGAGCTTCTGACTCCAGCAGATGTCTGGGAATATTTGATGCAGAATGGTAGCAATTTTGTTTTGTTTCTGGAAGGAAAGACTATCATAGTCCAGATCCAGCTGTGTCAGTAAAAAAGCAAAAAGTATTGCTTATTTCAAGGAAATAAGGAAATCTGTGAGATCAGGGAAAAGGAAATAAGTGTTCCCAGATTTTTAGCACATGGGTCTGAAAATTAAAGGCTGAACAATTCTGTTTTCTTCTAAACCTAACCACTGTATTTTTGAAAAAGTGGTCTTTTTTCTTTGACTGAAATGGTCTTCGTATTCCTGTTAATTTTTGAATAAAACACATAAAATTATCAGGAATGAAACAGAGATAAAGCAGTTCCTGAATTGCTGATGAGACTTGGTTTTAAACTGCAGCAGATCTCCTAACCCTGGATGTGTTAGGAAAGGCATATGAGTGGAGTAGATCTTGTGTGTTTACAGGCATTTGCAGACAGGTTGCTGTTTACAGCCATTTGGTGTGGGTCTGCTCTGTTTTGGTGTAGTGGGAAATTTGTAAGGAAGGACAAGATAAACAGGTTTTCTGGCACATAGAGCACAGTGACTAACACAGAGCCCCTACCTGCTGAAGCTGTCTGTGTACACTGCACTGTTTTTTCAGGCAATCAGCAGTCCAGACTCTGCTAATCTCTCCAACAGGCCCCTGGCCAATGTATTTTGTTCTCTGGATCCGTGAATAGCAATTACTGCAGTGCTTCGATACCTAAAGAATAGTGTGAACCTTTTATTTCCTCAATTGTTGCCTGAGTTCCTGTTTTGGTAATAGATGTTCTTCTCACATCACTTGTAAATATTTTACAGAGGGAGCAGATAACATTCCAGGAACAGTATCGTGGGAAGCAAAAGAAGAAAATACCGTCTACCTGAAGTGGTTAGAGCCTGCAAATCCAAATGGGCTGATACTAATGTATGAAATCAAATACGGGCAGCATGGAGAGGTGAGGATTTAATATGTCTCTGTTAAGAATTACTGCTTGTAACTCTAATTTATACACGAAATGGGATCTTTCTTAACGTGCTTCTGTGCAGTGCTGCAGACCGAAGATAGAGATTGTGATTTCAAACACCCGGCACCAACCAGCATGCCATTCCTTCGTTAAGTTTGACAGTTGCTGCATTCCACATAGCTCCTTGAGGTGTTCGAAGAGAAACTGATCAGATGAGGCTTTTGTTATAAAAATTAAGTTTCTCCTGCAGCTGTGTTGTTTTCTCAAGAGTGAAGGGATGTAAAGATATTAACATGAACTGCAAATTGCTTTTTTCTTTTAGGAGAAGCGGGAATGTGTTTCCAGACAGGAATACAAGAAGCTTGGAGGAGCTAAACTAACTCATCTAAACCCTGGAAACTATTCTGCTAGAGTTCAGGCCACTTCATTAGCTGGAAATGGGTCGTGGACTGAGCCAGTCTCTTTCTATGTGCAGCCCAAATGTAAGATGAATGGGTTTTGGCTGTGTCAAACTAGGGGACTGTTGTCTTTCTAATAATTCTTGGTGTTTATGTACGTAACTGGGTGTACGAGGCTCTTGTCAATGTTCTGAATACTCTTATTTGCTGGTGCTTTTTTGGGAACTCCTCTCTTTTCCATTTTTTTTTTTCTGGCAAGTGTTGACAACCAGGAGGCGTATCTGAGGTGTGGTCCTTTTCTTGCAGGCATTGTGTGTATATATATATATATATGGGAGGTGCAACCAGGTGCTGGGTGTGTAGAGCACACTGCTCTGGCTTCCTGTGATGTACAGCTGTGTTGGGAATGTAGCGTTAGCCGTAACGACGTGGAGTTGGATTGTACAGAACCAGTGACAATAAGGCAAACCTGCTTTAAATTGCAAAATAATACAAGAAACAAATAATTTGTTTAGATTTTTGGCTAGCAGGTTTTTTTAAGTATCAAGATGCTTTTTCATATGACCCGTTCCAAGTGACATTTGATAAAGGTGACGTCCTGATGAAAGGGTGATGCCAGTCCTGACAAGGAGAGTAATTTGTGTTTTCGAAGAACACCACTATAGTGTCCACAGAGACCCTCTCAAGAACTTCTGTATTCAGTTGTAGAGCAGGTGTATCCACAGAGAACTGGTACTCCATCTTTTATTTGTTTTTGGTTTTCTAATTGCTCAACTTGGAAGAACTTGAAGTAAAGAGCAGTGTGTGTCTATTCTGAATACAGGTATAAGCAATTGCAAGGGGAACAAAAGGTGGAAAAAAGGTGAATATGCAAGTGAACAATTACATATTGTTCACTGAGGAATGCAAGTCCTTAAGCATGGCTTGTGAAAACAAACCCCAGACAGGCACTGTTCTGTGCAAAATTAAAGCTTTTCACCGTCTGTGTTCTTGTTCCACTCATCTGCAGTCAGGGAGTATTTCTGAGTACATTTTTCCACATCAGACAAGAAAATGAGTACTTTGATTTCTTCCCTGTATGGAAATACACTGAGTGGGTTTTGAATGTTTCTTTGTTAATGGAGATTTTATAGAAAACCTGATACAATTGTTTTCTTGTTGGTTGCAGCAGCAAACTATGGAAACTTCCTGCACTTGGTAATTGTGCTCCCTATTGCTTTCCTGCTCATCATTGGGGGATTACTGATAATGCTGTATGTCTTTAACAAAAAGAGGTGAGTAGTGTATGTTTGTGGTTAAAGTTGGGGAACATTTATTTTCAAATCTGTGGCTATGGAGCAAGTTAGAAATTAAAAAGGGAAAAGGCAGTCTGAGTACTAGAGAGGCTAAAGTAGGTTCTGTCTTGTTGGTGTGTAAAAGGAAGTGGTTTAGAGTTACCAGCAAGCATCTGGTTGCTGCTTGAGATATGAAGAGGCTTTTTATTACAGTGTTGTTTCTGAGAGGGGAGAGGAAGGCTTGTCCGGAACATATCCACTGGGACAGCGGTGGCAGACACTGAACTTACATAATCAGAAGATTTGACTGAAATATGGGTCAATATAAATCATGAAAACTTAGTTCTGTTTAGGTTAATTTGATTTCTTGCAAATTATAGAGGTTTTTTCAAGTCTCTACATCCACTTGAAAAATTGTGTCCTGGACAAAGCAGTCTAGGGGACTGTTCCATTGATTTGTTTTCCTCAGTTTTGTGGGTTTTTTGGTGGGTGTTTTTTTGTGTTGTGTTTTTTTTTTTTTGTAAATAATCATTTATTTATTTTTTTATGTAATTGAAATGCATAATGAGAACTTAATGGAAGTCAGTGCAAATGTTCAGCCTTGCAGCTTTCTAGGCATGGACGGTTTTTATTACACTCATATAAATTATGCTGATTGAGTATCCCATTATTTCCAGCTCTAATTCATTTGTGCACAGGCAGTAGTACCAGTTCTCATCAAGCGCTCCAAGAAGGACTTTGTATCTAGTGATGTACAATACCTGCTTGGCATTCCCTTGGGCTCTCCTAGGTGAAATGCCTGATAACTCATCCTTCTTTAAACTGTTGTTCTGGCCCACAAGAATGTTTTGTCTTTGATTCTCTAAGGTCTGATTGATAGTCTGTGCTGAGTAATATGTCTTACTCTGACAATCACCCCAGTAAAAGGGGGGTGGGGTGGGGTGTGTGTTTTTAAAATATGATAGAAACACTTACAAAATAGTTGAGTGGAATTACCCATTAAAAACAATCTTGTTCTTTGCTAGATCACTTCTCTCCCACAGTAGCGCAGATGACATGAAAGTATGTTCTCAGCCACAGGTCTTCTGGGTGAATCACCGTCCAGCTGCCTTTCTTGAAGGAAGTTTACCCAGCAGCTAAAAGTGCCTTGTGTTTACGCTTTTCTGGTGCTGATTTGGTAGAGCGAAGACTGCGGGTTTCTTGGGAAAGCTCTTCTGGGCTGTTTTCCCTTTGATTATGTGAGGCAGATTAAGAACTTCGTTTCAAACCCTTTGTCTGAAAAGCTCTCCACTTACAGTAAATAGTATTCTGTGGTTGAGCAAACAGTGGAAAAGCTGTAGAAAAGGTGATCTGAAATTTACTTAAGTTTAAAGATTAAAAAATTAAAAAAATATTTCAACAGGAACAGTGACAGACTGGGCAATGGAGTACTTTATGCTTCTGTGAACCCCGAGTACTTCAGTGCTTCAGATGGTAAGTTTGGTCTTATGCTTCTGATGCCTTTGCTGCCGTGTATTCTGTTCGTGTCTGACTCTGAAAGGTATGAAGCTCTAAAAGGGGTGGTGTAAAACCACTTTCTCCATTTATTAGCACAGCCATGGAATCCATCATTGATAATACATAAGTCTCGCTTGTCTATTGAAACTGGGAGGATTTGGACATTTTTCCTGTATTCAGATGAGGCAAATTTGGATGCATTAGTTTCAGATTATCATCTACTTGTCCAGTGATGTTTTCACTTAGACTCCAGTTTTTCTCTAGCTGCTAAAACAGTTTTTTTTAAAGCCAGTTTCAAACTGACCTCATGTATTTGTGACTGATGTGTATATTTGGTGATGACAATATTTAGAGCTATTAGACTGTGGCAGCGTTTAGATCCTAGCTGGGGTATTGTGTGTTGAGTGCTCTGCTAACAGTGAAATAATTGTAGTTCTCAAGTCAGATGTGGGGTTTTGGGGGGCATCTTTAATTTCTCACAATTTTCTGTGGGAGACACAATGTGGATAATTCTCAAGTGTTTAAAACCATCCAGGAAATAAAAATTCTTTAAAAGAAAATTGCTGTTCCTAGGACAGCATGCTTTCTGTATGTCTGTACGGTTTTCCTGTACTTCACTATCGCAGGAGGTTGTGTCTGCTAATGGTGTAGATTAACTTGCCAGTTCTTGTGTTGGCTGTCCCTGAGCCAGCAGCAGGAGCTGAATGAGCCTGATGTTGCAGGGATCCTCAGCTCTTCATCTCCAGAAAGCCCATGTGCTGTGGAATGGAGAACCATGGAAATTCAGCTTTCTGGCTAAATGAATTGCCTTTTTTTAAAAACAAACAAACAAAAAAACCCCAACAACCACGAAACAATAAAATAGAAAAAGCAGCTATGTTCCTTGTGCAACCCTACTTGCTAGATAATGAATTTATTCCCCTCACCTGAGGTGTGGCTGTCTGTAACAGGCATGTGCCCATACTGTACGGATTATGTACGTGTGGAGCTCATCAAGTGCAGGAGGAGATCGGAACATCAGACAGATTTCCATGAGGCATCCGAACTTCTGTTGGTGGTTTAGTTTGGTGCTACTGCTGTAGACTTCTTGCTGGAATAGTGTTGCCGGAAGCCGCTGGGAGGCCAGTGGGTTTGCCAGAGCGGCAGCAGACTATTTTACTGTAATTTTTTATAGCAGCGCCGTTAGGGTTAAAGGTCTGTCAGTGTTCATGCTATAATCCTCTATTTTTGCATCCTGTCATTTCACCCGTCCAGAGCATGTGACACAACTGTCCCTTCCTTTGGTGACTGATAGGCAGCAGCATCAGTGACTACTCAGATGTCTTCTTGCCTGAGGCAGTCCTCCCTCTTGGCAGTCACCTTCTGAGGTCTCTCTTCTGCCTCAGATCAAAGACTTGCCACGTTCTGCCTTCACTGGTGAAACGGCGTGTGTGCAAGTGATCAGAATAGTTTCATGCAAAGAGCCTATTAGATCAGAGAGTCTGTTTCCCTCTAGTCATAAAATCAATCTGTTAATATGGAATACAGCAGCCACTAAACTGATACAGATGATCAAGTATGTTTGATGCTGTCTGGAAGAGTTAGAAAACCAAGGATCCCAAGAAAAGCTCGAGCCTGAAGTATTGATTCAAGCCTCTTCCCACCATGGTTTTGTACTTTGAGGTTCCCTATTTCCGTCCCATTATGTCAGTACCATAGTGAGGCCACTTCAGGTCCCTCTGCACATTTCTTTAAGATTTATTTGTATGGCGAGCATCTGCCTGTCTCTATATGGGAAAGACTGTGGACTATTTGCCTACGTCATGCAAGGTCTCAGCGTTGTGTCCTCGTGTTTTTGACAGTGAAACTGTTTGGGCAGTTGGTATCAGAGGGCACTGAGTGATGGCACCGCTTACCGAAGTGGAACATCATGGCCTGTTCTTTCTCTCTGTAGTGTACGTTCCAGATGAATGGGAGGTGCCCCGTGAGAAGATCACCATGTGTCGGGAGCTTGGGCAAGGCTCCTTTGGAATGGTGTATGAGGGAATAGCCAAGGGAGTGGTGAAGGATGAGCCAGAGACCAGGGTGGCCATCAAGACTGTCAATGAGTCTGCAAGCATGCGTGAGAGGATAGAGTTCTTAAATGAGGCCTCAGTGATGAAGGAGTTTAATTGTCACCATGTGGTAAGTCATGAAAATGTAACAAGGCTGTGATTCATAGAGCTGCAGTGCTCACTGGCGTGAGGGTGTTTGGGACCTGTCTTCACTGACTGAAGCAGGAACTTGGGCTTTTAGCTTCAACTTTAGCTTCAGCTCTGCGCAGCTTTATAGTATTATTGTGAAACGGGAGTCAGTGGAACCAAATCTGCTTTCAGACCTTTCCCAGGTTCACGGGTGTTTGGGGCTACGTATCAACATAAATAAACGATTACTGCAGTTCAGTTAGCAGTATTTGTAACAGAACATTTGTTTTTCCTCTTCCAGGTTCGGCTGCTTGGTGTTGTTTCTCAGGGCCAGCCTACGCTGGTTATCATGGAGCTGATGACACGTGGGGACCTGAAAAGTTACCTGAGATCATTGAGGCCAGACACAGAGGTGAGCCATGAGCTGTCGGATGTTTTTTTTTATTATTTCTTCAATTAGAATCGTCTTGAATGAAACAGCGTCCCGTTGGAAGCAGCAGGCAATTAGCCTTTCTTGCCCTTCTCCTTAAGCTCAAAGAACAACAACGTGAGCTGCTCTGTGATCTGCAACACCTGTTTTCATGAGGCAGCTATTGCACATAGCCCAGTGTACTGCATGGAAGAGGTCCCTTCTTGTGTTACTGAGTCCCGTTCTCCAGATTTGAATTAAATCTCTTGTCTAATCTAATTTCTTGTCAAGATGTTAAACAAGAAATTGGCTAGTTGAAGCATGCACGTTAGGGTAATTGTTTCATGTTGTATATCCTGCCTGTTGCCTCTGCTGGAAAGTAAAAATCTAATATCTTTGCTAATATGCATACTCTGATATGTAGGCTGTCAGTCTAACAGCTAAAATTGCCACATATGATACAGGGTCTGAAGGATGAAGACGATGCACAGGACACTTGCCGCTGAAATCATAGTAGACTATGTAGAAAATGAGCTCAGCAGCTTTTGCCCTCGATCTAGAAATTCTGATGTGCGTAACAAAGGAACAGAACATGAGCACAATGTGACAATGTGTGCTCAAGAGAATGAATATGGTAGAAATGGAGGGCAGCGCATGTCGCAGGAGCAGATTGCTTAAGTGATTTGA